AATTAACCACTAGGAAGAATGTATGCAATGTGTTAATTATTGAATCTGTTTTACCAATTTGGTTTGAAACTGTCTCATTGCTATTTGTTTCTCAATAAACTTATGGAAAAAAATAAAAAAAAATAAAAATGGGGAAAAAAGGAAATTGCAGATTTTTATGAAGAAAACAAAGTAGAATTAACTTAAGTATTTTGTACAGATTATTTAAATATACTTGTTGATTAATGGAATTAGTAAATGGATTAGTGATCCTTCTTACATCTGTTTTACCCATTTTAACATTAAACAAAATAGGTTATTTTGGGGCTGGCGAGATAGCTCAGTGGTCTATCGTGCCTCTTTAGGCAAGCTTAGGCAGGCACAGGAGAATGCAGTTCCATGTCTAGCACCACATGCTGCACCAGCCCGCCCCCTCAGGATCAGCTAAGCCAGCTAAAAGGAAAGGTGATTTTGCCATCATTTATACCACACTCTCTACTACTCATCCAAAATTCATATTTTAATTTGATATCATTTCTTCAACATTTTTCTACAGCATCATTATGAGTTTCTTTTTATGTAATTCAGTGTATAGTAAAACTTGCTTTTCTTGGTTTCATGGGAATTCAATATTTAGAATTATTTAGTGGAATTAAGTGAACTATTATATATTAGATTTTATATTTGTTGGGAAATAATAAAACCATACATACTAACTGTATCATCTATGTTCATGATCACAACAATGAAATTGGTTGTTTTTATGTGTGCTTTCTCTAGGGTCCTATAGGAGAACAAGGAGAAAGTGGAGAACCTGGAACCGAGGGGTACAAGGTAATTTCTGAAAGTTTACACTTTGCTTCCAAATTTGAATAGGTTTCTCTGTGATTCTTCTCATTTTCAAATGGAAATAAGCATCACGGAGATAAATAGTAATGTATTAATGCTAAAAGCAGCCTAGCTCCTTCTACTCTGTTCCTAGAATCATTAAAATTAGGCAAGATGAAGGATATATAACAGACTTTTAATGAATTTAATGACAGGATAATTGAGCCAAAACATCTTCCTCTCAAGGCAAAATTTCCTGTGGTCATTTCTGACATGTAGATTTAGCCTAGCCAGACTGAATGGACAAACTGACGGATACATAACTGTCATTATTAAACTGATTTTCTCCAGCCTTTTTTTTTTCCTAGATTCTCTGTCCCCTGTCATAACATTCTCAAATCTGTTCTCCACTTAACCTGTTCTGTCACATGACATTTACTTATTCCCCTGCTCTCTGTCTTTCTGCCAGAATATTCTTTCTTCTCTGACTAGAACATTCATCCTTCAAGATTGAGTTTATCATCACCTTCCTTGTAAAACTTTCTCCAAGTTTCCGTTGGCCAGCCAATTTAGCCCACCATCAGTAGCATCAGTCAAAATCCACCATTTCCAATAACCTCTTTTAAATGACTTTATGATAACTTTAATTTTAGCCAGTATATAAGAATGGTCATTGCCAAATTTTATTGGGATAAAGTTGAGTAATTATAGTGAAATTCCTATGAAGCTAGATTGTCTTTCATGAGATTTATGTTTAGACTTCACAAAGCCAACCAAGACATTGATGATCCTACCATCATTCCGAAAAGTCCTCTGTACTTCTGCATACAAGGTGGAGGCAAAGCCACAACTGGCCACAGATAATTCTGAATTTTATAACTAGCTCATTTGCTCACTCTTACCACACTTTGTAACTCAAGTTTTTCACCAGCTACTTCATTCCACAAAGCTGTTTGATAAATGGCCCACAAGGAATAGGATTTACTTGGACCACATGACCTCTTGATTTTCCTAATGCTGGATCTTTGCTGGCTATGCTCTGTTTTGCTACTAAACAAAACAGAGTCCTTTGTGGTAATAGTTTTCTGTTGAATGTAGCCATGTGATACTTAGAAATCCTCCTAAACCAGCTTTTCTCTCCTGATACTGTGTCCTTCCTTAAGCATAATTCATTTTCTTTAGCAGGAAATGGAAACTTAAAATCATAAATAATTGCTTCACAGATGCAAACATTAACTTTTCTGTGAAAATACTGTTAGGCTATACCGCCAATCCCTTCTTATAGTTCTGGCAAAGATGGTCCTGCTACCTATTCTAGGGCATTCGTTCTATAATATAAAGAGAGCAGGAAGAAAGAGTCTTTGTGAGGGGACAGTAGGAATGGGTATAAAAGAGATTTCACGTGGAATTCTTCAACCTAAATTTCCCCTGACCAGTGTCTGGATTATTGCCAGTTTCTGTTTACACACTTGAAAATGGAAATGTGGTAGCTCAGCATTCCTTGTTAGGAAAACTATAGTGACAACAGATTACTGAATGTCAGTCATTTGGTATTTTTTTATACTGCATATAGTTATTGCTTCTAATCTTTAATGAAGACCGAAGTATACTTCTGTAAAGGGAATAGACTGAAAAAAAGAAACCTGCTCTTACAGTCTTTATACATTTGGCTTTCCACTTTTGCAGTTTCAACCAACTGTAGATTAAAACTGTTCTTAGTGAACATGTACAGACTTTTTCCTTGACATTAATCCCTAAATTATGCAGTACAACAATGACAGCTTTCACATATGCAAATTAGGAATAATCTACAGATGATTTAAAGTAGTCTGGAGGGTGTGCATGGGTTATATGTAAATACTACATTATACCTAAGGCATTCCAGCATGCTTGGATGTTGGCTCCTGGAACCAGTCCCCCAAGGATATTTAGAAATGACCGTATCACTTTCTGATATTATATAACTAATTACCATAAAATTGGTGGTGTAAGGCAACACATATCTCTTCTCTCCATCCTAAAGACTGGAAAATGGAACTCAAAATGTGAGGGGGACAACTCTCCCTTTAGAGGGGTTGGGAAGAACCCTTGCTTGCCTCCTCTAGCTTCTGGTGGCTGTCACCCTCCTGTGGTTCTGTCACTGCAGTCTTTGCCTCTGGCTTTACCTACCCCTCTCCTGTTAAGTCTTCCTCCCATTGTGTATTACTGGGACACTTGTTAGTAGATTTAGGGCCCACATGGAAAATCAAAGACAATCATATCTTGATATCCTTAGTTTAATGACATCTATAAAGACTTTTTCCCCACTTTCACAGATTCTAATAATGAATACATAGACATCTTTTGGGAGGCTACCATTCAGGCTAGTATATTGAGTGTCAAAAGAAGTAAAAACAAAACTGCATACTTGTTCATCACACTAGTTCATATTGAAACATAATATTTAATGGCTATTTTGTTCTTTGTTAATTCTAAAAATAATCATAATCTCTATAGTATGTAAATTGAGTTTTCCAACACTGTTACCAATATAAGTGATAGTACAGTATTCTCTAAATTACATGTCTGTATTTATTATAATCATCTTTTCTATTCCTAGGGTCATGTGGGTGTACCAGGACCACGAGGTGCCACTGGACAGCAAGGGCCCCCAGTATGTTTTGAAAGCATTATCTGTCATTGTAACATTTATAAATAATAACACTAATATGACTTATTTTGTCTTCATTTTACATGTGATTTCTGTTTTGACTCCTATTAAAGGGAGAACCAGGTGATCAAGGTGAACAAGGACTAAAAGGAGAGAAAGGATCTGAAGTAAGTTGAAATTGTTTGAAACAATGTGAAACAAATTGTTGAATGAAGAAAACAGAAGGGCTGGGGTGGTAGCTCAGTGGTAGAAGTGCTTGCCTTGCAAGTGCTAGGTCCAGAGTTCAATCCCTGGTATCACAAAAAAAAGAAGAAGAAAAAGGAGAAGGAGAAGGAGAAGAAAACAAAAGCTCAAGAGAATCAGTATATATTGTAATTTAAGTAATCATTCATTACTTTGGAATAGGATTGCTATAGGCTTCTAATTTATTTGTATATTGTTATCTAGATATTTTTTTTATCAGCAGCCTTCTCTGGCTTTGTGAAAATTGCCGAACATCCCAAATTAGTAACCTCTTCCTTTGGTTTCAAGCAAAAATACCAGCACTGTAGAGTAAAAACTACCAGTCAAACTATTTTGTTGTGCGATGTACTAAAGAAAAAAATATTCATTTATACTTGTTAAGGCATGGCAAAAAGGGTTATATTCAGAACTATCAGCAGAGGGCCAGTGAGCTATCTCAGCAGACTAAACACCTGCATAGGCAAGCACTGGGACTAGGCTTTGATCCTTGGTACCACATGCTGTGCTGGCCCCACCCCAGGGAGTGCTAAGCCAATGACTGAGTCTGAGCATGGTGGCACACACCTGTAATCTCAGTGCTAGCGAGGCTGAAAACAAGAGGATCACTATGAGTCCAAGCTGTGTAGTGAGACCCTAGACCAAGTACATTAAAAAAAAAAAAAAAAAACTATCAGCAAGTGCAATGAGATTGTGCAATGGGGAGAGACAAAAGGCTGAGTTCCAAGTATAGCATCTACAAGAGGGAGGTTATAACCAAGGAGAAGAGTGGGAATGATGGATGGAAAATTACTAAGGGGAGACTCAAGTGTATGTAAGGGGTTCTGGCTAAGCTGACTTAATAGAATCCTTTCTGAAAACAGGCCAGGGTGATCAGACAGCACCTAAGGCAGTTGTGGTAAACCTATAGCATGCATGCCACAGCAGGCTATGTGTGTCATCATTGGAAGCTCTGAAAGGTTTGCCATCACTGACCTAGGGGATGGTGGACATGAGGAACCCAACTATGCATCCAGGGTGAACAGTGCTAGTATATAGTCCAAGGACACATTAAAAAGCCTCATGGAGTTTAAAAATAGAACCAACTGCCACAAGAATAACCACTAACTATGTATTATTCATTAAAGACACCATCAGTGGCCAGATGGGCTCTGTCCAATTACTGTCAACTTGTTTTTGAAAAGTTTTAAATTTATTCTTTGGATTTTGGAATGGCCCCTTAAAATCATCTGGAAAGCCTTCTAATTTTTCAGAAGAAGAAAAATCCCAGAGAGATTATGTATTATCTAAAATTACAGAACTAATCACCAACAGAACCAACATTTGAAATTGTTTCCTGATTCCCATTATTATACAGAAGCTATTACTTTGAAATCTTTTATAAATTAAGTAAAATACAATTACTTTTACTTAACCAATTCATGCATTCATTGGGCATGTGGCTTCAAAAAGCTATAAAGAAAAAGTGACAGCAAGTAATAACTATTACTTCCATAATACAAATGTAAGTGAACTGTCCTATAATAGCATATGAATGTTAAAACTCAAGCCAAGATCTTACCTTCCCCCAAAAGCAAAATTCCACAGTTTTGGGAATTGCAGTTTCTTGGCTTAAAAAAGAGAAATAGAAATAGGAAAAATAAATCCTGTGTGCTTCTCTAAATCTGTTCACTTTTTAAAGTTGCTCTCTCAAAGTAAAAACTATCAAACTATTGAGATAACTATATTTGAGCTTGTTTTGAACAAATATTTGAAAACAAATAACAAAAATAAAGATTCAAAAAAAAAAAAAAAAAAAAAAAAAAAAAAATAAAGATTCAGACTAACACATACATTTTTAAAAATGCCCCTTAGTGAAAGTATTTGATTACCTCCTCTTATAGTCTATGAACCAATACAGTCCTGATGAATGGAAGCTTTTTAAAGTGGATTTTATTTCAAATGGCTACTCTATATATTTTCAGTGTTAACAGGCAAAAAGAAAGCACTATTTTGCATGCTCTCTAAAGACGACATATAAAATTCATTTGCCCTCCCTATTATGAGAACAGAAAGTCTGTTCATTGGTTTATGAGGTACCTATTTTTAAATAAAATAATATGAGTGAGGTTGAAAATAACATAGAATACTTCTACCTTTTATATTTGAATTTGGAGGATTGGTTGAAGCATGCCTTTTTCTCTGCATAGGGTACCAAGTCAATTAATCATCTACTAACACTTTATAAGGTACTTTCTTTATGTTTGGCCCAGTCTGTAATTTCCTACTGAAAGACCACCTGTGTATAAGTTAATGTTTATTAATGGTTACATCTTAGTTTAGTTATAAAACTATTGAATAATTAAAACTTTGTGATTTATAAAACATAAATTTTTGAAAGGCACTGTTTTAGTTCAGAGTGCTATAACAAAATACTATAGATGAGGTGGTTTACAAGCAACAGAAATATATTTCTCACAGTTTGGAAGTCTGAAAGCCCAAAAATCACAGTTCCAACATGGTGAGATTCTAGTTAGAGTCCTCTTCTACACTGCATATTGCCAACTTTTCATTGTGCTTCACATTTTGCAAGGTAGGTCAAGAGTCTGTTGCACTCCCATTTATAACATTCACCAAAATTCTTGAGTTCCAACGGATACCTCACTTCCAAAAGCCTAAGTTCTTAATACTATTAGGCATTAATATTAAAGTTAGGATTTCAGTGTGTGAATTTTGGGAGCACATAGACATTTAGTGAATAGCAGTTTAACAACAGTCTAAACTTCAGTGAGAGAGACGGAGACAGAGTCAGATTGACAGACAGACAGACAAATGGACAGAGAGGTTTTTTTTCTTATTGTAAGACTGATTTTTTCAGCTGTCCTCCTTTCTCGTAGTTATGTGACAGCAGTTATAAAGGAAATCTTTAGTGAATTGAATGTCCAAAAACATCAGAAACATACTCTTTTTATTAAACATTGCTAGTGTTAAGTATATAGATATTAACCACAATTGCCCTACTTGCATTACTAAAATATACCTTAAAAAATTCCTCATATCCATAATTTCCCTTTAATGGTATTCTATTTTGAGTTTCTTCATAATGCCTCATCCAACTCTACGTAACATTCTTACTTGCAGCAAAACTAGATGGGTCCACAGATTAAGATTTCAATGCTCAATATTTAACTCTTTTGAAACAATCCTCAGCATAAGGACCACTGTAAGCATTCATTGATTTGCCGTAATATATAAATCTTTTTTATTTTGTCATTTGAATATTTAGAATAAGATGCATACATGTGTCATATACTAAACTCACAACTTTTTAAATGGACATTCCCAAGATGGTATTTACATCTATCCTGAGTGTCCATCTTGCCTGATGGTAGAAACCTAATAAGTGAAAATCTAATCAGTTGAAAGCCTTTGACTCCACTTACTCAAATATGCTACATTTGATGGAAAACTTTCCCCATTTATTTTCTTCACAAGTTTGCAGTAACATCTGGAATTGCAACAGTGGGGATGAGGCATGAGTGTTGACTTTAGTCTTCAGTACCATCCATTCACATAACATCCACTAAAATGTACATCATATCCTTTGGGCCTGATGACCATCATCCCATTATGTTACATCAATCTTGACCTTCTCAGCAAAAATTCTTTAATCCATGCTTGCATGCACAGTTTTTTTCTCATTTCAGGTTAGAGCAAGGTCACTTCATACAGGACTCTCAGTTCTTCTACACTTGGCAACATGGAAATAACATTTTGTTTCTCCTCCCATTATGTTGAATACTTGAGGAATTCAAAAAGACCTTCCATTGTCTGCATGTATCATGCAGAAATTGTTGACACTCAGTATACTTTATGTGGACTTCTTCATGAGGACATTAGTCTTTCTAGGCATGTTCTTGTGCCCAGATCTCCAAACTTGTATGACAATTTTATTGTTTGTATCCATCTCATGGCAGGAAGACAACATATAGAGCAAAGGACTCTTCTCAGGGTCCTTTCAGTACCTAATAGTTTTTCTTCTCTTCTGATCCTCTTCCTTCCCTTCCTCAGCTTGAATAATTTTATAGCCTCCTACAAAGAAAAAAAGCTCTTGTTACATTATTGTAATTTGGAGGGGGGTCTGTTCTTTATGACACATTTTATGACTTTCTTCTTTTATAGCATTGTTTTAATTTACAAGTTATAGGTTGACATCTATCTTGGCCTTCCCAGAAAGGTCTTTTAGATTTTACAGATTTTTTTAATATTTAAGAGTCAGGTTATTGTATTTTCAAAGAAGGATTTTGAAACAGAAGATATATTTTTCCTCAAACTGTTAATCCCACCATGAGTTTCATTGGACCATATTGAAATTCATAAGCCAAGGAAAGTTCTGTTTTGAAAATCAGGAGTCTAGGACAGATCTATCTGTTTGCATAAAAAAAATACTGCGAACATTCTGGTTAACATAGTTGAGGATTATCACCATTATTATTATTCAAGATGACTAAATTCAGAATATTTTTTTCACATTTAGCCTTTATTTGCTTATTTTATTTTTTATAAAAACATATTTTACTATAAGTATCATTTGTTTCATATATACCTCAACTAAAGCCAGGTCACCAACAATCTCATTGTATGGTAGCTTTAGCCTTAGATAGACTGTATTACTGACTTTTAAGACAAATTTTTAAAAATAATTTTCAAAGCTTGAGTAAATTCTTGATCGTCTAACTTCCCATTATCAAATTCTATTGAAGTTGAATTTATATCTCTTGTAGAACATGCTCGTTTTGCCTATGATTATATATCCTATATCTTCTGGAAATGTTAAATTCATTTTTCAGAAGGCATAACATCCAAAATTGTTCTTTTCTTTGAATGTTGTTAAGTTAAATTTGGGGCACAGTTTGTCCTTATATTTCTGACATTCCAAGTAGAATTATCATGAGTTCTGATAAACCTGTTTAGTAATGACAATATCTTTTATTTTTTAAATTTGTGTACCAGGTCACTCTCTTCCATATTTTTCTTCTTAAAATAGTTTTCAGGTATCATCAGGACAATGGCATGATTTGTAAGGGCAAAATTCCTAACTCTCCTGGCAGACCAGCTGCTGCTAAATCAATTAGGACTTAAAACATCACACTCATGGAGCAACAAATAGTTCCCTGGGAAACAAATATCTCTTCCTTGAATTTCAAGTATGTTCTTTGCGCTTCCAGAGAAGCACACTTTAGGCCCTGGGTTCATGCGCCTTGCTTTATAGAAGAGCCTCTTAAGCAGGAACTTTGCCTTCAAGTTCCAAACACATACCAGAATATATGATGTTCAATAAATATCTCTTGAAATTAGCTACTTTGAAAAAGGAAACAAAGTTCATCTCACTCCAGAAAGAAATCAACTATGGATTAAAGCACCTGTTTGGGCAGACACACAGGTTGGGGTTCGATCCCCCCACCTGCTGTGCCAGCCCCACCCCCAGGGTGTGCTGACTCGGAGATTGAGAGTGGGCGTGGTGGTGCGTGCCTGTAATTCCAGCACTTGGGAGGCTGAAAACTGGAGGATCACTATGAGTCTGATCTGGGTACTGAGACCCTGTAGACTCTGTACTAAATACATAAAAAAATTTTAAAAAATCTAAGAAATAAACTAATAACAAGTGCTGGCATGGCCATGAGCAAAAAAGAATTCTCTCCATTGTTGGTGGGAATAAGAACTGGTGCAGCCAATGTGGACATCAGGGTTTAGACTCCTCAAAAAACTAAAACTAGATTCCATTGGACCCAGCTACTCCCCTTCTTGGTATCTTCCTGAAATAATTAAAAGCATCATAGCAGGGCAATACATGCACACCCATGTTCACAGAACCATAGTTTATAACAGTAAATGTTAGAAACAGTCTAAATGTCCATCAGCAGATGAATGGATAAAGAAAATACAGAGTTTTTTATGCAATGGATTGTTACTTTGCCATAAAAAAGGATAAACTTGAAACATTTTTAGCTAAATGGATGCACTTTGAGATCTACTCTTATATGAAATAAATCAGAAAATCATGTTTAAAATCTCACATTGTTTCTTTGGTGTAAGAAATTAGAAGGGTAAAAAATATAAAAATAAAAATAAATTTAAAAAAAGAAATTAGAAGGGTAAATAAGGACCAAAGTATATGATAGATATTGCAAATAAGAAAATGTTCAAGAGAGAAGAGAAATAAGGGAGGGGTTGGGCAAAGGAAGAAAGAAGAAAAGATGATGGAAAGAAAAAAGTGGAACCAGGGATACAGCTGAGTGTCACGGTTCCTGCCTGACAAATGCAAGCTCCAGGGTTTGATTTCTGGTACTGCCACCCCAAAAAAGGAAAAATGAAAACAAAACCTTGTAAGAGAGGTTGAAGGGAGGGGAGGGAATTAAGATACATCATGTATGAGTGCAAATCCCTAGGATGAATGCCATCATTATGAATATCTCAACTGTACCCATTAATTTAATTTTCAAATAATAAATTATATAAGATCCTTTTAAAAAAAAATTTAAAAACATTTTAAGTTAAAGGTTCTACCTAGAACTGGTCACATTCATTAAATAAGTAGTTCCCATTTAGTAGTATGATTTAAGGTTTTAAATCATATAGTATTTGGAACTAGAAGAAAATTCATCAGCATGCTGATCACAATCTCTTATTTTGATGTGAAAGCAATACGACTCCTGGGGAAGGTAAATGACAGTGTCAGTGATAACGAGCTAGGCAGTGACAGTACTTTAGCACCCGCTCCTCAGCATTCTGTTCTGATGATTTTACGGCTGCTATGGTGATATATGTCTGGATGATGACAGTGTGCTTCCCATTTTTAGGGCCCTAAAGGGAAAAAAGGAGCTCCTGGTCTCTCTGGGAAACCTGGCATTCCTGTAAGTAAAAGGCCTCTTTCATCTTTCTGTTTTACTAAATAGAATTGACACCATCAGAAAGCAGAAAAGTTTAGAGCCAGTTGTGTCATGTTGGATAAATCAGATTGTCTTTGTGGAAAAAAATTTAAACCCGTGCTGGAACACAGAGGGAACAAAATATGACCACTAAGTCAAGATGAAACTTGTGGTTTGAATATAAGCCCCTGCAACCAGAGATGCTGTGTCCCTCCGTTACACAGCCCTCTCTGTGGACACGGGCTCCTCTCTCGTGGTGAACCACTGCAAAACAGGGAACTTGAAATCATGGCTAACTGCACTGTGACAAAAGTCAAAGATCTTCAAGCATGATTAAAAAAACATGAGCTGGATTTCATTGGAGGACTAAGCTTCTCCTTCCCCTAGCAAAAAGAATAGAAAGGCTTTGAACATTTGGTTTTTAAAGTCTTACCACAAAACAAAGATTAATTTTACCTTGGCCTTAGTATCCCATTCTAGCCAGGCAGTTAGGTATCAACTGGCTTATTAACGAAGGCTTCTTCTGGTGTTCCCCAGCCAACCCCTATATGCCTGCTTTCATTAACCTTTGTTGGTTTAAAAAAAATTAGAGAAAATAAAAATAAATCAGGAGCACATTTAGATTAGAGATCCCTACAGACAGAACCCAGTTGCCCTAAAGCAAAAACAAAATATTCACACTGTCTGCAGTCATGCGATTGTGTGTTCCAAAGGGCAACAGAAACAGCCATGATTTGTATCCTGGGAAAGTAATGCAACACAGATTTTGTGAATGGTAAATGACTGTCCTCTGCAGGTGAAAGCAGACTTCATGGACGAGTGCAGATAGCTGGTCTTTCCTGGATGGCTGGGTAGAGCACAGGCTGGCCAGATGAGAAATACTGTAGAATTACCCTACGGCTCAATGATTACACCAAAGCTCAATCACAGTAGATTGCTGAGTATCTTGGCATTTTCCAAGGGATTTTTTTTTTTTTTAAAGACTACTATCTGTTGCTTCCAAATAACAAATTATCAAGGAATGTAGGAAATGGGAAAAAATTTTAGCCAAAGGTATAAGCTTACCTCTTTTTCAATAAATATAAAGGTATTTCTCACTTAAACATCTGTTCAGCATCTCTGGATAATATAAGTAATTTTCAATTGTCAAGGGACTTCCAGGCCTTCCTGGGCCAAAAGGCAAGCAAGGATATCACGGAGCCGATGGCATCTCAGGAAACCCTGGAAACGCTGGGCTACCGGGAAAGCAGGGACTTCCTGTGAGTAGTCTGAGTATCTCTTTGTTCTTAGTTTCTTACACATCAGTGTCTCCTTGCTAGATCCCAGATATTGTGGCCCTTGTTCTTAGCTTGGCATTGGCCCCGCTTAGGCCAATCTTTTCTTTAGTAGTTATTTTAGAATTACAGTGAGATGTCCAGGGATGTCAGTGGGGCATATTCTCTTAGATATTTTAAATCTAATATTTCATAGTATTAATACTTTATAATATATAAAAGCTTTTGTGAAAGAACTGAAGTTAAATTTTAGGGGCCATATCACCTGACTGTGCTCTTGAGTTTGTCAAGTGTCTTCAGCTACCTTTGGAACATTCAGGTCTTGGCAGCAACTCCAGATATTTTTTTCTGCCAAAAGCCATTTTCCCTTTATTTTTATATCCCCAGTAGTTATAAGAATTGTGTGGATGTTTTCTCTGTTCATCTAGAGATGATACAATGACATAGACATACTATATTTTCACACAAATTTATTTTGTTTATTTGATCAGAAATTTAATTTTTTTTCCTCTTTACATAGTCATTTTCCTTCTTTCCTTCCCTAACAGCAACCTAATCCAGATACTTTTGTTATCCAAAACTAAATACATACTTTTAAAAACTCCATAAAATTTACCCTTTTATTTTTTACTATATGAATGTGATTATCTATTGATAAATTTTTCTGTTCTTAAATAATAAGTCAGTCTTAGCTGTTTATTCCAGGTTATCATGGTTGTGTAGCTAAACTCAAACTCATATTAATATTTTTTTCACTATTCTGAGTTATTTCATCTGTTTAAAACAACAAACACAAAACCATGAAACTATGACCCAACCAGCTGAGTGGTTTCACAACTAAAGACGTAGTCAGATTCTATCTAAAAACATGAATATTTTATAGAATTTTAACATGATTTCTATTCTTTTTGGAAGAAGTGCATCAGAACATCAGATTAATGCCTAGACAGCTGGATTGCAAGGCTGAAGTTTTCAATTAAAATAGTTATTGCATAAACTTCTGCCAATCATATTTGTGTGGTTAAAGAGGGCTTTCACTCAACGTCCTAGCCTTTAAGGAAGCCCATAAGCTGGACCTGCATTGTCACAGAGCTCTCCAAGATAGCAAATGACAGACTTGAAATGAGACTGTGAGGTATTTTTTTAAAATACAATAATAAAACTCTTTGACTTGGTCTGGCATCTATGTATTTATAGATTAGGTTTTACTTGGAAATGTTAGTGTGAATCTTTTCCTGTTTCTTTAAAAAAGATTTTGAAAGTTCAAATAAGGAAAACCACATTGGAAAATCAGTCATATTTCTTACTGTTACACACAAGTTCAATCAGGAGATGGTTTATTGGTGGATGTGTAAATCAGTCGATAAGATTAAAAAGTGAGGGGCAGGGGAGATAGCTCAGTAGAATAAGCACTTGCCTGGCAAGCACAAGGTCCTGAGTTCAGTCCCCAGTACCAAAACAAAAAAAAGATTAAAAAGTGAATTATAAATGCCAATAATAGCATATAGATTTATTAATTTTAAAATATTATTATTTAAATAACAGTAATTAGAAATAACTTGTTATCTGGCTAAAATTCAGATAGTTGTTCCAAAAATGGATAATAAAAATAAGTACCTACAGTGTATTAATTAGAATTTTCATATTTGCACACATTCATTATATGAGATACTCACAAGATCATTTATTTTCAATCAATTTATTTAATGGCTTATTGTGACAATTTCTTTCTGGCAATCATCATATTATATAATTACATTAATTCCCTTTCCTCTAATAAACAATTCTTCATGTACTCTTATAAACCATAAGCTGCCAAAAGAACTTTAGATGGAAACATCAGATCTACGAATAAAATATGGGTTTACTCTGTGAGGACAATTTCAAATACTCCAACTATTCCCGATAAGGGACGTGGCCATGTTGGCAGCTCACTGATCACCTCTGCTTTTGGTAGGCGGACAGTCAGCAACGTGGTAGCCAAATGAGCCGTGGTGAGGGAAAAATCCAAGTGGTTTCCTGTCTGTGGGTACAATGAACAGCCGCAGTGACTAACATGGAAATGTTGACTGACTAAATGGCCCATCTCATTACCTGTTTATTAGGAGCCTCGTCTATAAAATATACTCTGTTAAGTGTTTGCATGAATAGTTATCTTTATATTGATGCCATTTTCAGAAGTTCCTTTAAATTCACCTTCTGCACACCTTCTATCATGAGTCTTTCATCCTTCCCAGTCCTTGACTAGCTGGCCAACCTTTAACCACTGCTAGTTAGTATAGATCCATATCTCAAGTCATCTCTCCTTTCAGCTATGTGTTTTACCCCAAGTTGTACCCACTGGGAAGAGTTCTCTTTACTAGGATCTTTCAGGCTATAAGTCAGCAGTTCTGTGTTTCTGACTAATATTGACAATCAGTGCAGATTCACCCATAAATCAGTTTGTGCCTTTTCTTCCTTTATTAACTGATAAAGGGTATTCTTCAGGGAAGCTGGCAATCATCATATAGTTACATTAATTCTTTTTCTTTTTTTTTTTGGTAGGAGAGTTTCAATAATTAACACATTGCATACATTCTTCCTAGTGGTTATTTGCTGTACAAGATGAAGACATGATATCCTATTTACAAGCACTATTAGAACAAATTCCTCTATTCATTAAGAGAATGTAACTATATACCTATCCTAACCATTTTGAATACAAAGATACAAAATGTACATTCATCTGTATCCCCTTTTTTGTGCAGTTCTGTTATT